TAGAACATGGAAATATACAATACTGCGTGGGTGTGTGTGTGTGTGGGCCTGTTGGGGGTGGGGGGGCGATCCCGCCCCCACCAACCGATCAATCAATCAATCAATCAACGGAAAAAAAAAAAGCGAAATCAAATGAATCTTCCGCGAGAACATGGAAATATACGATACACCTTGTGTGTGTGTGTGTGTGCGCGCCTGTGGGGGGTGGGGGGGCTACCCCGCCCCCACCAATCAATCAATCAATCAATCATTCAATCAACGAAAAAAAGAAAAAGCAAAATCGAATGAATCTTCCACTAGAACATGGAAATATACAATCCTATCTGCGTGTGTGTGTGTGCCCCTGTGGGGCCAATCAATTAAACAATCAATCAATCGATCAATCAACGAAAAAAAAAAAAAAAAAAGCGCTCATTTTTTTATTTTTATTTTTTTTGAAATACCTTCACTCACCCAAACCCCCCCCCAAAAAAATAATTATTATTATTTTTTTTTTTCGTTTGAGGGGGTGAGGCTGGGGTTGCGCCGCCCCATGGCGCTTCCCAAATCCCAAACCCCCCTCCCCACTGGCCGCCATGCGGCTGAAAAGTCGCGCGGACCCGTCTGCGGGGTCGCGGCCTAGGCTGCGGCCGCGGACTTGTCCGCGGATGGCCGCCGCCGAGGGGGATTCATAGAGTACGAGATAATGTAATGATTGTCTCACTGTCTCTCACAAGCACTAAAAGTGATCAAATCAAGGAACTCTAACTTAACAGTGTTATTAATCGACTTTTGAAAAGCCCATGACCGGGTTCATTGGGACTTCGTCCAGGAAACACTTACTCGAGTCTTATCCCAACTCTTATCCCAACTTTATTACCTGGTTTAAATCTTTATACAGCGGATCTCTAGGCCGGGTGCTAGTTAATGGTTTCATTTCACCCCCCTTCAGAGTGTCAAGATCTCTTCGACGGGGATGCTCATTGGCACCCTCTCTCTTTGTAATTCGGATGGACGTCCTCTTAAATATGGTCAAATCCCATCCACTTCATAAGCCTTAGGGCCTACCGGTGTCTCCGTCCTATAGCCTCATGGTCTCGGCACTCGCCAATGACTTCTCGGCAATCTCTGAAAACTCTACCAAATCACTACTAGCCTTAAGGCCATGCTTATCTGTCTATGAAGCCGCCTCGGAAGTGAAAGTCAGCTGGAATAAGTCTATCGCCATAACTCAAGATGGTAGTCCGTTGGCAACAGACTAGGGACTGAAAGTCCTTCCCAACACGGATTCGGAACGGTATCTAGGGATCTTAGGTTCCTTCTCTAATTGTACCACGACACAAAACTCCATCATAGAATAAATTATAAGGAACTCTTGCATACACTGGTCCAAAAAGAAATTCTTGTCACTCTTGGGACGCGCAATGGTTGCCAACGTATCAATTCTCTCCACGATATGGTACATCCTAAGGCTTTCATTTAGGGAACTATCCCAACGTTCTCTCCAACTTATACATAATCTTCTCTCTAGGTTCATTTGGAAAGTTGACTCGGACGTTGCTTCATGCATAAATAAGTTAGCCAGGTGGAAGGTTGTGGAAAAGAAAAAAGATGAGGGCCTAGGGGTTATCTATCTGAAATTCAGAACATATCTCTACTTACTAAGTGGGTGGTCTAACTTTTAACACAGCCAACTGACACACCATGGATCCAATTGGCAATTTGTATTGAATTTCTCCCTAACGAATGAAACCTATCTGATAACACAGCAATACGGGACTGTCTACTCCTTCCCCCCTTGACCAAAAATACTAACTCCCCTACCCGGGGCCCTATGTTGCACGCCCGGCCACGGTCGGGGGTCCGAATCGGCCTAGGCCTAGGCCGATGACCGAATCGGCCCGGTTCGGCCTGGGCCGACCAGCCGAGTTCCTTACATGATTTTTTTCCCCCATTTTTGACGTGAAAAAAAAAAATATATATATATATATATATATATGGGTGTGTAGGGCTAAAAAACCCCTACACGCCCATATTTTGTTTTTGGGTGTCAGACCTTCCGCACGGCGCTGAAAAAAACAAAAACAAAAAAAAAAGGGTCTGGTGGGCCGTTTTGGCCCTGTTTCGGTGCCAGCGGGTGAGGGGCACCGTGTGGGCACTGGGTAGTGTGAGGAGGGCGGTGGGTCCAGGCCCAGGCCACGAAAAAACTGTTGCCGTTTCAGATAAATGCTGCCATTTATCTCAAATGGCAACAATTATTGTTGTTGCCCTTAGGCTGTCGAACTGCCTGCTCGCACGCACACAGAGAGAGAGAGAGCAAGAGAGAGAGAGAGAGAGAGAGAGAGAGAGAGAGAGAGAGAGAGAGA